AACCGAACGCGAATCGACCTCCACCCCCCATTGGTAAATGCTCACTTGGAGCATCACCACTTTCTCATTCAACCCCAACCACCAAAACCACATCCCTCAAGGAACATCTAGTGTGCCCAGGGGGCCTCCAAAGCAGAGTCGGCTTGGGTTTTGTCCCTGAAGACCATTCACGCTGCTGCTGCACTTGTGGGCAATAGCCCTTTTTGTGAGGCTATCCCTATCCCCCGGCAAATCGTGGCCTGGCCATGCTAGGGGGCTCATTTTCTCAATCTACATCAGAAAAATCACTTGTGCTTGTTTCACAGGTGTTTCCTTCTCACTTGCCCTCCTTCCCCCCACCAGATCGCCTCCTCCCCGCGTTTCAGCGCCACCCCTTCGGCCGGGAAGGCGAAGACCGGGCTCCCAGCGAGCTTTTCAAAGCCGGCGCCGTCCGACGCATCGGTGCCCTCAAGGCAAGGGCCGTAAACGTAGGTGCAGGTGTCCAGGAACCTGGGCCAGCCCAAGGTTTGTTCATGACTTTAAAACCTCTCGTGGTCAGGGTCCTGTTGGCCACCGCTAAAAGAAACAAACAAACCGCACCAAGAATGGCATGCCCGCCGTCCAAAAGAAGGCAAGCCTCAGTCATGGGGCTTTGCCCTGCTACATGTCCATTTCCCCACGAGAAGTTGTGGAAATTGGAGATGCAAGAAGGGGGGCCCTTCATGTCCAGAAACCTTGGCAAGGCCCTGACAAGAGTTTGAGGCAAAGACCAGTCTGGAAAACCTGGGTTCGAATCTAGGCCTAGAGGATCCAAGAAAACTGCCTCAAAAGAAGGGAGCACCCGCAACCAGCGGCCTTTTCAAACCTCCCTTCGGGACCGCAAGGGAAACTGGGCTCCCCGTCTCCCGGGTCAAGGAGCCTCGTTTGCTTGCTGCAAGAAGCAGTTCCTAGATGCCGCATGGCTCGCTTCAAAACCTCGCAACTGATTGCCTGAGCAGCAAGTGTGTGATGGCCCCACTTTCAATGGCTTCTCCCTTGGAATGGAGGTTTGGGGCCCATGCCCTTTCGCCCAAATGACCAGGTCGAACACTGCGGCCGCCCAAACCTCGAATATTGGGACTTGGAAAGTCGCCCTGCCAAAAAAGTAATCTAACCCTTGCAAAGCCATCACTCAAAAGCAGCTGGCGTAGCAAGCCCTTGTGGCAGACTCATGGGGGTGCGTCTTTTACGGGAACCCCCAAAATGGTTGGTTCCTTTTAGTTTTTCTGCAGAGCCACCCTTTAAAAGGGTGCCCTCAAAAAAAGACACCATGTAGAAGGCAATCAGCCCAATTTCCTACTTGATGTTTGGTCAACTCTCACCAACCCGGGGGTGGGTTAACGTCCGCCAACTGCCAATGTGTTAGATAGAAATAGACTTGCAATACGTGCTGATATATCATCTTGTTTTTTTTGGGGGGGGATGTATGAGATCTGTGTGTATGATCATACCAATTATAGACTTAAACGCAAAGAGGATTGGCAAAAACATTTAGAGCCCAAAATGCTGATGGAGTTGTAATGCCGCGAAACCCCACCGCTGTCATCAAAGGCAGGGGCCCGGGACTCGGGACAAGAAAAGACTTGAGCCGAAACGGGAGGCTCGAAGAGCAACACCTTCGGTGGGGTCCAAAAAGGCTGGGATGCCATGTTCAATTGTCAACGGGATGTGCAGAAATTAACATGAAAGAAATCATCTGCAAGAGTCCACTCTTTTGGCAAGCACCCGGTGCAGTGAGAGGATATGCTCCCTACCCGTTGCAGTCAATCAAAGTGAGCGCGCAGCCACAAGGAACCAAATGCATGCCAACGAGTACCTGACATTCAGCAAGAGACAAGGCTGTCCAATACAGAGGGGGTTGGCCACCTTATACAGAACTCCTTCGAAGGACCTTGTGACACTCCCAAATGTTGCGACCATCTGGGCTGGTGGAACGCCGGTGCTAGAACCGGGAATTGTCTCTACCATCCAAAGCTCAACGTGCGCTCCAGGATCAATCTTGCAGAGCAGGATCCCCTATTTTAGGCACCGCGCGTGCATCATGTCTGGTATATTTCAGGGGCTCAGAGTCGGACCCTTAAAGGCAATACTCCTCATGTTGCCCTCATTTAAGGTCCAACAGGCCTGCATCCGTGCAAGGGTACGACCTAGGCAACAAACAGGCCAGAAAAAATCGAACAAGCTTCCATCCCCCGGCGGCTTTCTTTCGCTGAGGGAGATCTACCGGCCCTAAGGGTACGACCCTAAAGTCTTTCTGAGGGCCGGAGCCATCACAATGGCTCCTCTCACACAATGACTCCTCTGACAGGGGTGCTCCTACAGACCCGATCGTAAGGCTAGAAGTGTGGCCGAAAGGGAACAATAAAAGGACAAAACACAAATCTTCCACCCCAAACAAGGTTTGATCGTTGGTCGGAGCAACCCTGTCTCAGACTCCTCTCAGCTCTTGAACAGCTGGTCCTTACACCCCGCTGGACCCATGTGCTGACCTCGACGTGTCCCCTTGCCGCAAAACAAACTTCGCCACATCTGAATGAAACGCAACAGCACTGCTCGTTCTGCGGATCGAATGCAACAAGCAAAGCCCTTTGAAGAAATGGATGGGGCTTGTCTGGAGGTAACATTTTTAGGGTTGCTTTCTCAAACCGGCATGCGTTTCAAGCCTCATGCCGCAGCCATCTGAATTTGCACATCGCTGCGGCCGTGCGTCGATCTCCTCTTGGTGTCTTTGTCGCACCTGTCTGGGCCGTGGGCGATCAACGCATCGAAAGTTATACCCTTTCTTGGCTACATACAACCCAGCTGTAGCGATCTGTATGCGTCCAAGTGAATGTACAAATATTTGTCATATGGCTTTGCACAAGGGGTACACCCGGAGACTAGAGTCCATAATCATCGGGCTAGCCCACCCAACAGAAGAGAGCGCCTCCTGGACGAAGTCGTAGGCGCAAAGGAAGTCCTGCACCATGCATATCAACAACTATGTATGCGCATACTGATAAACAAATACATAGGTATACAGGTATAAAGATATTTTGAGGTAAACATATACCAAAAATACAAAGATCAAACAACATATCATGCATGCGCAAATGCACGCGCGCCGACTGCAAGAAAAATGGCACGGCAAACAAACCGCAGCATCTCAGCGCCTCTGGCATATGCAGTTGCAAAATCAATTTCAACAGAAAATTGCACCTTTAAAGCCGAGATTTCGCTTTGGAGCAAAACATGGATCACCGTGGGCCAATGAGCCAGGGCCCGAAAACGAACCCTTTGTATGCGAGGCCCCCTCTTGAAACATGAATTTGGATCAGCTCCTGGACTCCCTTACCGGCTGGACAACTCCCATCTGCTTTCACAAGATCTCATGGGCTATCCGGTTCCCAACGAGCCACGACCAAAACTCCCTAAAAGAGTTATCATGCTGTTTGTGCCCCAGGGGCCTTTGACCTGGCTGTAAGTACATCTGCTACTCTTTGTGTGCCATTCACTGCACAAGAACAATCATTGCTGTTTTCCTGGGCAGGGACTCCAAACCTTTCCAGCTCACACACGCGCGAACACAAACAAAAAGGAGCGAGGAAATGCAAGAATTCCCTCACACGCGTCCCCCTCCCCCACCCCAAACGGTGTAAATCGCAGCCATCGCCTCGCGCTGCTGGCCGTCCATCGATTGGAAGAGCGGACCACGGAGCATCAGCAGATCCTCTGCGAATTGAGGCCCCAAAAAACGCTGCTTTGTTTGGGAAAGCAATTTGGCCAAGCCTTTTACTGTAAAAGCTAGTTATTAGTAATAACCCCCATCCAAACAAAAACCAGCTGGATGTGTTTGGGATGCCAGAAGGACACCCTTGCGGGCAACCCAACCATATTCGGAAATGGACCACTATTTTGATAAACCTACATTTGTTTGGGCGCGGCTTCGGAAGGGGTCCATGCCTGACAGGGTCGGGCCATCCCTTTTGCTCATGTATGCAATTTCCTTGTCTTTTCGTCTTTTCACTTCAAAGGTCGGAGTCTGATGGTTCAAACGTTGCATCTTTCCAAAGATTTCCACAGTCACCCTTGCCTCTCAGCCGCGCGTGCGATTGCTGCTCGCCGTTGGGGACGGTCAACTTCTTCTAAAGGAACCCCCAACAAGGTCTACCTTGGGGCTTGCTTGAAACAAGTGGAAGCGGCCTTAAGCTGAGCAAAGCATTGTTATTTTTCTCCTTTCGGTTGCAAGGCGTGTCTCGTGGCGACTCCTGGAGAATCTCCGGATCTTTCAGCTGGTGCTTGGCCCAGTCGGCCGTCATCACCTAAAAGCAGGGAGCGCCCGTACATTGGGATGCCCAACCGAAACCAGTGATTTCCAAGGGAAAGCTCAGGCACGCCCTTTTGGGCTTTTGGGCTGGTTGCTGTTGGAGGGCACGCCCCCCTTGAAAGTAGAAAGAGAGCTGCCTCTGGACAACATGGGTCCACCAAACTATCGGCACCGAATCAGCCCGCCTGCCGTTTGAAAGCCGGGTTTTGAACCAAGTCGGCTCACGCATCTCACAGCTCTTACCCCTGACGCGCGAAAAGCGCCTGGACTTTGTTGAACTTCTTGCACCAATCAGGGACGCAGCCCTGGCACTGGGCGGATCTGGGCGGCGGCTTTAATCCGCCCGCCTCTTTTGAAGCCCTCCTTTCAACAAATGTCCGCCAACCGCAGGGTTGCTCGCAAAAAAGGGTGCCAGTTGAAGTGTGCAGAAAGATGCATGCCACTTTCTTCCAAGCGGCTTCCTTTAGCTGTTTAAAGTCTTTGGGGGCGTCCCCGACCAAAGGGAAATGGGCCTGTCACTGCTTGCCGTGTGCAATCCAATGTGCAAGCAGGTCATTGGGCTAACAGGGGTCATACACGGGGCCCACCTTGGTTTAGTTCCCCCCAACCCCCTAATTCTCTAGGCCCTTGCTGGACAACACCCCGCACCAGTTGGCCTGGATGAACCCCTTATATACACTTGTTCATCAACCAACCAACCAACCAGCGGCGCGATTGGTTTCCATCCACAGACACAGGGGTCTGCCCAGCCCAAACAAAACAAGCGCCTTCTTGTCGGCCATGGTCAGGATCTCCCGCCGGAAGCGCTCTGCCTCCTTCTGCGCCATCCTAAGCCCAACTTCCCGGCGCTCGAGTTGAAAGTGTACCCGGGAGCCCGGGTGAACAGACGAAGGCCAACAAAAACACAAAACACGAACTCGTCCCATTCAAATGACCCAACAAGTGATTTTCAAGTTCGCACGAAAAGGGGGCCGATTTTAACGAGAAACCAATCTGAAGCCGATCATTTTGGTGGCCCCTGGATTTGGAACATCTCCCAATCAATAGAAATTGGCATAGCAAAATCAAGCAACACTTCTAGCAAACCTCCCCTTTGCGGGGGGGGGGTCCACATTGATTTCCAGCCCCGTTTTTCAGCCTCCCCAATGGAGGCTGAGCAACTGATCCGCTCCGCGCCTCACAGCCTCCGCCGGGTCTTGGGGCACCGTGGCCACGGGCAGGTCCTGCTTCCTCGCGGAAGCGGCTCACGGCCGTTGCTTCGTCCGACATCGGCGGGGTGTTTTCAAAATCCCACCCAGGTTGGGGGCCGCTGAGTTTGAGAAGGTCCCTCTGTTGCGCGTAAGATGGCATGCCCGTCCATTTGGGGTTAGTCATGACCGTTGACGTACACAGAAACTGTGTCTAGCTTCACCCCAGCTTGCCTCCACCCAGTTGGGGGGATCTCATCAGATGCGCAAATCGGGCCGTCCTGGCAACTTCCGAAGGGGGCGGCAGCACCTCCTGGCCCACCGGCGAAGTGGCCGAGCCAGGGCGACGGCCCCGGTGCAACCAGTGCCCCAGGTAGAAAAAGAGGGCCATTCTTTTGCGGGGTAGGTGCAGGCCTTCCAGAACTACCAAACAAAAGGGGGCGCAAAGCAGGGTCTCTTGTATGCTCCTTCAACCTCCAGAAGGCAATGCTCAAACCAAGCAGCAAGGGGTATAGGATAACCCCTGAAATTGTGACGGTGTCGCTTGAATGGGCTATGGTTGTTTGATTTGGCCCGGTACCAACCCTTTACCAATTTGGGGGCGGGGGAGGGAGGGTGCAAGACGTTCTTTCATGCTTTTCAGGGATGCCCCAATCCCACAAACACAGCGAACCTCGGCAGCTTCTCAAAGAAGGCGAAGTGCTTCGGCTTTAGTAAAGCTGCACATGGCAAAGCCACTGAAGTTTGCTGTTAGCTTGTGGGCATGGGAAAAATTCGGTGGGTGAGCCCTTGGTGCTTGTGGCTGGAAGTGGGCAAGCCCCCAAAACCGGAAACTGAGCCTAGACTGGACGAAAAAAAAAACTTATGTCCAAGCCGCCTACCTCCTCGTCCACCTCGACAGGGTTCCTTCTGAAACCCTTTTCCCTCAAGAGCGCACCAAAAAGCAAGGTTGAAACCACTCACAAGGCGTCAGGGCAATGGGATTACGAACAACCGGCCAAAACAGCACAGTGTGGTATGGCCATAACACTAATCAGGGTATGCATTGCGGCAATGATAGTAGACCCACCCGTCCCAGCCATCCCACCTGACCTGAAACTAAAACACACACACACACAAAAAAAAAGAGAAAAGAAAAGAAAAAGACACAAAACAAAAAGAACTTCGAACGAAAAGCGTTGCAAAACTTCCACAGCTCCAACTTCGCCTCCATCTTCTCCAGCTCCCTGCGCGCCGCCTCGTTGCCCGGCTCCATGCGCAACACCTCGAGCGGTCGCGAGAGGCAGGCGCCTCGCGCCTCGCGCCCTCGTGCTTGGAGGCCGTGTGCTTTGGGGGGCGATTCCAAAACCCCGTCTCCGAACGGAAAAAAAAGCTGTGAGCTGAACCCTGCGCTAATTGGCTTCCCTTTCAAGGGGCCCAGGGATTCGACCAGTTTGGAGATCTGTCGAAATACGAAGGCCCCCAAAACGGGCTCCGGGCTTCTTTTCGGTGTCCCTTTAAACCAACTAAAAAAAAAAAAAAAAAAAACTCAAACAACCCGCACCCATACTGTGGACGGACAAAATCCACGCCAGGCACCAGCTTGATGAACGAGTATTGGGCTTCATCCATGCCAACTGGAGCGCATGTTGTCCATTCACAGTATGGTGGGAGAGTGGGTTTGTGTGTTTGTGTGTGTCCTTCTTGAATGCAAAGGTTGGACCCTCTCCAGAAGGAGAGCAGTCCAAGGCCAGTTGGATCCCAACCCCCCCCCCCCCCACCTCGCCCGGGCCCACAGTTTCCAGAATCTTTCGCCGAATTCGTGGGGGTGAAACCGGCGCGCTCGTGGCAGCCGCCTTTCTGCTGGTGGCGTGAAAGCCAACATCCCAACGGGCATGTTCAGGTGATTACTGCGAGTTCCTTCGAGACCAATCGGTATCGAGCTTTTCTGGCCTTCAAAGTCAAGTTGAGAACAAAGCAACTCCTCATTTTAACAGCCCAATGAGAGTCGACCTTTCAGATTTGGCCGTCGCCCGTCAGGCGAAGAGCTTCCGGTCGAGGTCCAGCCGGCCCTTGCGCCCTGCACCGGCCAGAAGCTCCCGCAGCACCTATGGACGACCGAGCGTCCGAAAGGTATCTACTGGAAACCGGCTTTGTGACTCGGTGACGCTTCAGGAAAGCAGGTCTTGCTCTCACAGCTGTGCTCAGAGCATCCTTGGACCCCCGTGCCTATGCTTGCACTGGCCCAGGAAGGGAGGCCCACGATAAGATCATCAAGCCGAGGGTGCGGCAAAGCCCAAGACTGAAGTGACTTTTTGGGAGATGTTTCCTTTCAGGGATCCAGTGCCCTCAATCCCATTTTTGAGGGGGTGAGGGTCCCGACCACCGCAGCGCCTTATTCTGCGACTGGAGCTGCTCCACCACCGCGCCACGTGAGGAGCCCTTGATCTCTTCCGCTGGGAGTTGGAGCTGGAGCGCCTGAGGCGCGTTGAGCGCAACGAGTTCAAGCCCCCGCCATTCTAACCCGTATGCCATGGGGAACCAGCACAAGGGAAACCGCAAGTTCAATTTTGTAGGGGTAGGGCGTGCCTCAAAACTGGGAGGGGGGGGCGGAGGTGGATATTGCTCTCTTTCAAACATCCCCCTGTGCGCTAAAGGGAAGCATAGGGAACCCCGTCGAATGGTGCTGAAAGGGAGTCGTGGATCGGGCAATTTATGCTGAACATCCGGTTGGCACTGGGCCCCGTCTGTGCCAACATTCGATATCTTTTGCCAATCTTTCGCCAGCACTTTGAGCCATCATGTGATACTGCGAGCTTGCACATGAAGGCGAACTAATCTCAAAAGCTATACCCTTGCACTTGCACTGTTGCACATCCCTTTGCAGAATTACTCCATCTATTGGCACCCCCCGGCTAAAGGAAACACAGGGGCACAGAACCCCCGGGGCACACTTAGAGCACAAATGCAACAAAGCTCTAATATGACCGAATAAGAAAACAAGGACAAGGGTGCCATGGAACACTTGGGAGCCTGTCGGCCTTGAAACACGAGCCGTTGAACAGTGGCCCCTTGGTTGCTTGGCTTAGACTAGAAAAATGGCAACAACTGCGCGAGATTTACCTTACGGCCCTCATGATTGGCGCGACGCCTGCTTGCTTTGCAGCGCGCGCAGCTTTACGTCCAGGTGCTCCAGCGCGTTCTTGAACTCCGAGACTTCCTCCTCTTGGCCGGGAGTGAAAATGAGGCGTCCAGTTTGTCTAGCTTTAGGATTGGCCCGACAAAGGTTTCAATTTACTCGTGTCCCTGGAAACTGCCACTTTTGCAGGTTAAAAGGAACACGGAGGAAACCCTGACCGGCTCCCCAAAAAAAAAAAACGCCGCCAAGGTCCGCCGTCCTCCGCGCTTCCGGGCACCGGCGCCTCCCACTCCCCGGCGCCGCGGAACCGCGCCGAAGCCGAAGCCGCTGGGGCGCTGGCGGCGGATGCCTCAGCCTCGGGGAAGGCCTCCTCCATCTGGGCGGCCGAGGTCTTCAGCCGCTGCAACTCCTAGGTCTTTGAGGTTCGATTGGTGGCTTGGGGGAAGCAACTCCTAGGTCTTGGGTTGGGCTTCGATGGGTGGCTTGGGGGAAAAGGGGAAGGTGGCTCCAGCAAACTGATATCACCATCCCGGGCGCTCCCTGTAGCCAAGCTGTAATTGGTGGCTGGGATTGGTGGCTTGGACCCTGGCACCTTGCAAAGCAGTGGGGAGGCAAGAGGCAATGTCCAAATCTCCGAAGCAAACCGCCAATCAGGGGCCATGCTCGCGCACAGTTTCGGAGGTGCATCCTGTTTGCGACTGTCTGATGTTTGGGGAACACCCCTTTCGCGGTTGATTCCCGTCCCGGGAGCTACTTTGACACCTGAAAAGAGATGCCAAGTTTGATGCCACAAAAAACCTACAACTCGAAGGTGCGCTTCCCATGGGCGGGAAGAGTCGGGCTCCTCATCCTCAGCCGCACCCGGCTCGGGCGAGGCCGCGGCTTCGAACGCCAGTTCCTCCGCGGCATCCGCCTCCGCCTCGGCGACCGCCGCGTCCGCCGAGGCGGCCTCCGGCCGGGAGAAGCGGCGCTGCTGCCGGCGGAGCTTCTCCACCTAGCGAGGCGTATTTCATAGAAACGTAGGGGACCCCAAACCAGAATGGTTCCGCTTGCTGAAAGACATGCCCATTCCACTGGTACAGCAATAAAACCAAACTGACACCACAACTCCTTTTCTACTTGCAACCAGACAACCACCCTTCGCAAGGTTGCGGGGGGGGGCAAATGGGGGCTTTGAAGGGCCTGCAGTTATAACCTTGGCACATCTGTTGGACATTGACCCCCACCTGCAGCTGCAGCTGCCTCTCCATCTCCTCCAACTCCCGATCCACCGTGTCCTCCGCCTCCTCCCGTGCCAGCAGCGCGTCCGCCAGCGACGGCTTCGGAGGGGGCCGCAAGGCGGCGGCCAGCTCCTCGAAAGGGGGCGGCTCCCCAAAAAATAGTAGAAATACAAAGAAAAGCAAACACAAAAAAAAGACTTAGACTGTTTGGGGGCCATGGGCCATGGAGGTAGTCTTGCCCCAGCTCCGATTCAAAACGACAAGTACTCCCAAGTCTTTTGTGAGCAGGGGCATTTTTCGCTCGACGCCACCAGCAGGAAAACCAGAGCAGCCCCGCCTCTGGGGGCGCGAGGGGTGGCAGCGGCGCCTCTGGCAAGCGCGCCTGGCTCGCCGAACCGCCCGCGCTGCCCGCGCTGCCCGCGCTGCCCGCGCCCGGCCGCGCGAGCGCGGCCGGCCGCGCGCGCCTCAGCTCCGCCAGCTCCCGGGCCAGCGCCGCATCCTCGAAATCGTCCTCGTCCGATCGCGCCAGGACCAGGTCCGCCAGGCCCATGGCACAGGAACGGCGGCGTTTTCTTGGAGGATCGGCGCCCCTTGGGAAAAAACAAGGCAAAAACGAAGAAGGAGTCGTTTGCAGGTGGCTTCCTCCCAGCAAAAGCAAAACTCACTTTGGCTGGGCTCCTTGTGGCTTCCCGCTCAACATGACAACCAAAAGGCAAACAGACCCAGCTGGTCCAGACAGCGTTCTCTGGGCGCCGTGAGGAGCCAGGCCGCGAGTCAATGCGGAAACAGGGGAGGAGGTCCGGCCACCAGTCTAACAGCGACCAGACCTTATGGGGTTGATTCGTGGATGCTTTTGATGGACTAGCGGCTGTATTTTAGTGGCTGTATCCTTTTCTTTTCCCTTCAACCGTTGTTCGTCAAAAAGTCGATAATGGATAGTGGTGGCTTTCTGCAAAGAATGGTTGGGAATCCTGAAGTGTCCGAAAGCCACAGACTAAGCCCCTCGTATCAATGAAAGAGCCCAGGACTTGAGGCCCGCAGTCAAGCCGCACTACACCCCACGGCCAAAGTATCTACACCACGCCAAACAATGCTTTAGCTTCATTAAATGAAGCCGACCCACCTCCCAACATTGTGAATGCAGGGTTTTCTCAGCTTGGATTCACCAAATGCAAGGCAAGTAAGCGAATGTCTATCAATGTCTAGGAATCGAGTTAACACGCTGCACCACAAGTTGTGAGCAAGTTAAATGAATTGATCTCCCGCTTTGAGTGGGGCGAGCCACCAGAAACCATGGAAATCTGCTGTTTTTGAAAAGGACATGGCTGAAAGGAATTGGGAAACAAGATCACTCCCCACAATCTTGGAACCAGCCATTGCTAGTTCTACAAACAACTAACCACCAGCATCCGCCCTTTTGGAGGGTGAAGCCGCTCCTGCTCGAAGTCCTTCCGCGCCAGGAGCCACCCCTGCGCCTCACCCCCCCAAGCAGAACGCCACTTCTAGGGGCGCGAAAACGTGGCTCGCACGAAAGGAGGGGGACGTCCGCCCCTTCTATTCAAAGCAACTCATGAAACCTGCTGCTACCTTTCTTAGCTAGGTTCCAAGATCCCCCCTGGCAAAAGTAGACGCGCACGGGGTGCCTTTCCTCCAAGGAAGGCAGTCCAAAAGATGTACCAAGCCGACGTTGGGAGGGCTTGGTCCATGTATTGACTGCCAAGATGTAGGTCGTTGCGTTGGCGTGGCCCTCCAAATCCAGGCTTTGGAGTTGTGGAGGGAAGGCAAACTCTTCGAGTTTGACGTTGGTTTTTGCAGAACACGCTGCAGGCTGCTTCGCAGCAAAGAAAGCTCCAGCCTTTGACAGGGTTCTGTTTTTTTGCATGGCCCAAAGTTGGTCTTGGGGCCCGGCGTTCGCGTAGGCGCAGCCCCGCCGGAAGAGGGCCCGCGTGTTGTTGGGCTCCAACGCCAAGGCCTGCGGCCAGGGGCTTGGGTCCAAAGCGACCTCAAGATGCTCAAACACATCACTCTAAGGGACCCAGGCTCAGTTTCATTCGACATTGCCTTGAAACCAAGCACCCCCCATCATTCCCGAAAATTCATAATTGCGGGTGCAGAAGGCCATTGAAGCAAAGGCTGTTACATCAACATCCAATGAAGGGACCCCCATCCTCCAACCCAAACAAGAAGGGTGAAAAGGTTCTGGGCCCTTGCCAGGTGCAGTCACCACTCGCCCCGCTGCTGCTCGCTGAACCCTTTGTTTTCCGAGAGGCGAGTCCTGAAAGTCTTTGTGCGGGAGGCTCGCGACATTCCGCAACACTTTGGTGAACAACGCGCAAGATGATGGTAGAGGACACGGTCGTCGAGCATCGCGCTTGTGATAACATGGGTCTACTGGTCTACTTTGCCCAGGTCCCATGTCGAGGCCATCGCCGGGCTCCCGGCCACTTGTGGGCGCCGAGAAGCCCCGCGCGGCTAGTCGGGGCCCCGCTTCAGGCCCCGCTTCTCCGGCTCAAGCTCGAAGAGCGGGAAGGCAGCCTCCTGGCTCAACATGGGGTCCCAAAATGGGTTTGTCACGCCTTACTTTCGACGATTTCGCAGAGCTTTAGGCTGTATCTAAACCAGTTTTTTTAATGAGCGTTGACATAATCCTTATGAGGTAGTTGTTTTGTGTGTATGTGAAAGATGTATTGTTCAAGTACTGTGCTTCAAGGATTAGGTGATTCCTTGTTTAAATCAACTTGTGTCCATACTATGTTAGGTTTATTCCACGAGCAAAGTGTGACGGCCCGGATGCCACCAAAACGAGGTTCCCAACCAAAACATGTTGCTTTGCCGTGATGCCCACACCGTTGGCCATATTCCTATGTCAACTGTGAACTGTCATGGGCTCCAACTTGGCTAATCACAGAAACCCAGCCTTGGGCGTTGCTTACAATAGTGGTCCCTTAAAAATGGTTGTTCTTTCCTCTTGGTTTCCCTTTACGAGCAAGGGGTCGAAGCCTTCCATTTTGAGGCCGGGCGCCTTGGGGCGCAGCCGCAGGTCCATGAGGAAGCACACGGTGCCCGCAAGACCCTCCTCGGATATGCAAAAACGAAGGCCATGGATGATGGATGTTTGGACCAACCGCAACGCGGTGTTGCAAAAAAGGGTGACTTCGTAGTCGGGAGAACGAGCCCAAGGTGTGCGCTGGCTGCAAAATCGGTGCATCCAAAAAGACAAAAGGATAACGTTCCCAGATTAATAAACCCATCCTGTCAAAAAAGGGGGGGTGTTCTCCTCCAAAAGTGATGAAGCCCCACAAAAGGGGACACCCGGTGTATTGATCCAGGCGTCCTATTACTTCAATGACACCAGCCAAGCGCTGACGATGTCAGCCAAAGACAAGGCTGCCGGGCATCCACCACTTCAATTGCATTGGGGAGTATGACAATTCGACCCAGCGGCCAACTGCCAAAGGAGTACATAAGAGGTGTACTGCTCTAGTGGCCTATGACTGACCTCTGCCAACTGGCAGAGGGAGAGGAAGTCAGAGGCCTATTCCCTGTTGGGAACAACGGCCTGCAGGGAAAGAAGCGGAAGCTCTCTGCGGGAGTCTCTTCAGCTGAGACCACCCATCATTTCCGATCGCATAATTGGACGCTCAGGTGGGCCTTAGACCCTGCCAACTCCCCGCACGCAAAGGGAGCAGCTCTTGTTCTCGCCTAGGGAATGAGGGCCTGGCAAATGAGAGGAGCATGATTTCTGACGCACGCCGGTTTCCCTTGAGGTGATACCATGAAAAACGCCAAGGCACGTAGAGGGAGTAGGGGGTGTCCGGCTTCCTCGACTGCTCCTTCACCTGCCTTGTGGCCATCTGCTCCGCGAAGTGGTAGGCGCGCGCCAGCCAGTGCGCGTCCCCGGTCAGACGGTACCTGGGCTGCTGTTGGGTTGGGGCAGTTGGGATCGGAAGAAACTTGAATAAAAGGCGCAAGCGTTTGCCTTTTGACCCCCCCCCCTTTCGGGCCAAGAAAAAGGACTCTCCAAAATCACTCCTACATGTTAAACTTTTATTGTCCCTCCGCACCTCAAGCCGGTGCCCCCAAGGCATCAACACAACAAATGGGGCGGTCTTAGCTGTTGGCTTCAACTGGCCCGTCTGCTTCCACGGCGCAGGCTGAGGAAGGTGTAGCCATTGCCGGCGATGCCGTGGCAAATGCCCGGGCCTTTCTTCAAGAGCCCGTACTTCCACACCAACTCTCCCGCCTCCTGCCAGGAATGGCCCAGTTGGAACAACAAAGAGAACAATGTAGACAAAGGGAGCAACACTTCGGGGCTGACCATGTATCGGGAATTTGTCTGGCTGAGCTTGTATAATTACCTTTTGGGTTGGTCATGGCTGCTCCCTTTCAATGGGAATCCAAAAGAGAAGACCAAGTCCCGGCCGGGGGGTCTCCGACGGCCGAAACGGAGTTGGAGGAGAAAGGGAGCGCTCGAGGGTGTCACTGAACTGGGATGCACTGCCGGGTCTACTCCGGGGAAAATAGTGGCCCGGGACAGGTTCCTTTCTTTCCCCCCTCCCCCGGCTTAAAACAAAGGAAATCAACCACCTTCAAGGTCCGCCCTTCTGGAACCCCCAGTTGAAAGCTTGAAAGCGGGCCCCCGTCGAGAACAAACAGCCCGAGACCTGTGCAAATGTTTCCAAGCCATGAGGGGACCCAGTCATAGCAATGGTCCAAAAACGCACTAATGGCCCACCCTTCAAAGTCGCTTACTGAGCAAGCCTCTGTTTACCATAGCTCCAAATCAATGTGGGACAGCTTAAGTGTAGCGGTCAAAACGGAAATGGGGACCGCTGCTGCAACTAAAGGCAGCTTCTCAGAGATCACAGTTTGGGTAAATGAGTGTCAGTGTGTGAGAATGATACGCATTCTCAGATGGAGAGAACAAAGAACTCTCAACCCCAGGCAAGCAAGGCAGGCATCCCCCTTCCCACTTCCCAACAATGCGACCCTGAAAACAAGCTTCAATGTGGCTCAAACCCGAAGGCCGAGCACCCCTTCTCACCGCAGACTGGTTCGCTCATAGGTGTCCTCCTGTCAGATTCAAGCGTCTGCCCCCGCTTCAAATCACTGTGGAGCGTTTTCGAGGGCACATGCTTCTCAGGCTGGTTTTGCTTGGAAAACCCCAAAGTAGAAGCGGCAGAGCCAAAGGAGGACCAAAGGTGCCCCCCCTTCAGACACCAACTCAGGTAATTAACCCATCAAGGGGACTCCGTTGCACCAAAGCTCCTGTGCCAGGTCCAGCCACTGCTTCTCGCGCAGCACCTCGTAGGCCTTGGGGTTTTGAATTGGACAGAAAGCACCGCCGGCGCGGCCTTTGAGAGGGATCGTTTCCACGCATAGCTATACATAATTGACATAGTACCCAGGCAAGCTAACAGAACGCTGTTGCACCAACATAAAGAGATGCTTGAAGATTGCTGTCAAACCTGCCAGCGTCACCCAGCCTTGCAGTAGAGAAACACCGCCCCAGGCGCGCCGTGGCAGAAGTGCACGCACTCAGCCCTTCGGTCTCCCAGCCTCGAGGCAAAAGACAACTTTTGTTCACGACACCAGTGGCCCCCGTGCTTTCCAGCCCTTTTGTTGAGCGCCCAACTTTTTCGGGAAGAGAAGGGGGCATCCCCATGGAGAGCGCATAGAACCAGAAAACGCCTGCCATCTCGCAGAGGGCCGGGAACTGCACCCCCACCCTCACACACTGACCGTGGGGACTGCGAACAACAAACAAGGAAATCAGCAAACAAGGAAGAATCACGCAAACAACCCAAAACAGGAAACAGGCAAACAAACAAACAAACAAAAAACAAATAAATAAATAAACAAAAAATAATAAATAAATAAATAAATAAAGGCAACACGACGCAACACAACGCAGTACGACACCGTACCACACATACCACACATACCACACATACCACACAATGCCACACAATGCCACACAATGCCACACAATGCCACACAATGCCACACAATGCCACACAATGCCACACAATGCCACACAACACATAAGCACACACTCTCTCACACCCTCTCGCCCTTTCAAGAGCACTTTCCGCTCGTGGGCTTGAAGGTATGGAGGCGTCAAATTCAAGACTTAGGGGGCACAGCACGCGCCGACTCAGCAACTTCATCTTACCCGAGATGGTGCTTTGGAAAGATGACGACCGACCAAAAACAGCAGCATGTTCAAGGCAAGTGTATGGTGCACACTCAGGATATATTTGCACCTTGTTTTGGGTATTGTTTTGACGGTTTGAGTCTGCATGATAGGGTGTCGGCGTCCAATAAGACCCTGAGCGCCTTTCCCTTTCTACACTTTCCCGTTCTGTTTCTGTTGGAGTTTAACTGGTGAAGGGGAAAAATGAACCTCTCAGCTGCTCAACCCCCAGCCAACCCTCTCCTTTATATGGTCGACAGCGGAGGGAGCAGGGAATAGGAGTATGATGGACTTTCCCTTGGGTTCTACGGCGCAAAAGCCTTTGTTATCCTATCTTGGAATCTGAGTGAAGCTTGAAAAGACCAAAGGCATTTCCGTTCCTTGCGCTTCCATGTCAAGGATTTTGCAAACAACCGTCTGTTCATGACACGCAGGTTTGCCTGTTGACTCTCTTTCTCGAGGAAATAAAGGCTGATCGCGGGGCGATGCGTGATTTTCCCAAGCAAAGGATCTAAACAAACCCCCGTTCTACGCCATGTCCCTTAAAATTCCACGCTCAGCAAAGGCACACCGCTGGCCAGTTGCCTGGGGCTGCTCTGGCGGTCGCCAGCCACTGCAGCGTCTGGCGGATGGTGTCCAGGCACTGAGCGTCCTGGAGCCCCAAGGCCCTAAGGACTTGGAAAAACCTCCGAGTATCTTGTAAGGGCTATTGCTCTTTGTCGGGGCTATAGATTCAAGGGTTACCGGTTTGGGGCCCAAAAGGAAACAACAAACCGTCCAAGTGCGCTGCTCGCACATTTTCACGCTTGAACAGCCACACTGCGGATGCAATGGATGTAAAACCCCATACTGACCGATCAAATTCTTCACCCCCCTCTGCGTGTTAAAGGGGCCTTTCACAAAGCAGCCAAACAGTAACACCACAGAGGGAGAAGGTCAGGGGAACCATTGTTACATGCAAACCATGACAGTTGCACTTTTAGCGCCACTGCCAAGTTGAGTAGTTACCGCTACTGTTGTCCCATCCGCTCCATCCGGACCAATTCTGCCAGCTGCCTTGGCTCCAATGCTCACCCTCGCGGGCGGCGGGAGCACTTGTCTCGGCATAGCGAGCGGCGTTGCGAGCGAGGTGTTTGCTGCTCTCGTTCCTCGAAAATTCAATCGAGTTACGCGCATACCGCTCATTCTGGCTGAAAATCCAGTCCATCTCGTTGCGGAGGTTGTCCAACGTGTTGCTTCGCAGATGGATGATGCCATTCCAACAACCAATGCTGCGAGGCTTGTCTTGCTCAAAGACCACGTTGATAAAAGCTCTTGGGCTGTAAGGCATCCCTTGGAACATAATGATCCAGCGAGAAGAAAGCGCATCTTGAAGTTCGTTGGGCAAGAACTCCAACTCTGTCTTGATATACGCGAGCCTTGCGATTCGCGACTCCGAAGTTGATCCAAGGCCAACTCCCAGAGTGCGCTGGGCTTGCGACTGCTTTGGAGCAGCCAAGACGAGATTTGCGCTCAACTCCATGCGGAGCATGTCCGCCTCCCGACGGCCCACCTCAAGCATACGAACCCTGTATTGAAGGTCGAGTTCATAGCGATCAAGCAGAGAGTGATAGCCGTTCTTCAGGGCGGACTTGTGCTTCTTCCGTGCCTCCTGAATAACAGCACTGTCCGGGGAGTTCAAGCCACGAATGATGCTGCTACGATCCTCCTCGCGGAGGTCAAATGTTCCCACGGATGCCAGGACCTGAGCTGTGACATGGGTGCTGAGGCCCATCTTCTTCAGCAAATTGGAACGCTGCACAATGTAATTCTTCTGTTGCTCTTTCAACAGGCGTGGGGAGACAACTGCCCACATGATGAGCAGTGCACCTGCCCCTCGAAGACACTGTTGTTGCAAACCGGGCACGTGGCGACATTCAGCTCAACGTTCTCCATTGGGTTGAAAGTCTTCTGTCTCTTCGCTTCCCCTTGCGGGGCGCGAGGAGAAGCCACATTTGTGCGGGTTGTAGCAATACGTTCCAGCGCTGTAGAGCGATCATCAACCACGGCTTGGTCGCGCTTCATCCCCTGGGGTTCATCCTCAGTCGCCTCAGCTGGTGCACCTGCATCCGATTGCTCGGAGCGAGTGTACCATACATCGCCATTTGTAGCGTCCAATACAGAAATAATCGTGTAGTTGGGCACCTTGTCGCGCGTAAGGACGCCGTCGCTCTCCGTCTTGAAAAAGCAAAGCCCTGCGCGAATGGCCATCCTGAGGTCGATCTGTATCTCCAGGGGTTTGTTCGCACGTACACCTGAGATGTAATTTTCGTTCGTGCTTGGGACGTCAGCGAAGAAAACGTGAGGTCTGCCTGTCTCGTGCTGGTCCCCTCCTCCTGGAAGCAGTCCGTTCCGCATGTTAGCGAAGTTACGCTTATCAGTGCGGTGATAAAGCACCGTAGGAGGGCTGCTGCAAACGTTCCAGCCAGACCAGCGCCCGAGGTCGTCCCCGGGTTCACGTACCACTCCTTCGCGATGCCGGAGTCGTCGATCTGGAGCCAGTCCTCATGGCCTTGAGAGGCCTTCAGCTTGAAAAGCCAATGAGAACATGGAACGTCTCCGCACCGGCTTGCGTCCGGGCAACCAAGCCCGATGAACCTCTGCTTCTTGTCCAGCTTGAAGATGTCCATGATATTCTGCATGTTCCATGGAATGGGATGTCGCAGCTCCTTGCGAAGCGCGAGTCCCAGGTCTTCGAGGTCCATGTAGCCGTCCTCATCCATCACATACCCGCATCCTTCTGTTCCACGACCACGGAGGATCTTGGAGATGCACGTCAGGGAACGATGGTATTCGTCACTGATTCTCCTGACGGAAGGGTCGTAATCAAAGGAGGGCTGCTTGATGATGTCGAGTCTCTTGGGGCCCTCACCGTAGTCGACATACTTCACGCCATCATGAATGCTATACACCCAGCAGTCATAGTGGCCCCCAGGCACGCTCCTTCCGTAGGAGTCGAGTGGTACCGGCCTGCTCGCCTCCTCGTCCCTTTTTGCCACCGCAGCCGCCTTTGCACCGGCTTGCGCCGGGCGAACACTTTCGGAAACATCAGCACCGGAAGGCTCACTTGTAGTTGCAAACTCGGCTGGGTTGACGGGGGCGAAATCGAGGGGCTGCCGGACTTCCACTTCTTCACGGGTGAAAGGGAGCCCGATCATCTCTGACAAAGAAACACCGCACTTCGTTAGCGTCTCCTTGCAGTACGCGAGAACCTCAACGTTGACTGTGCAATCTTCTTGGTGGCGCACCTCGAGCACATCGATCGGACGCATGGTGCAATCATGCGAACGTGTCAGCTCGGCTACGCTGCCCATTGCGGGGCGCAAGATAGAAAGCATATACAACATGTGATGGGTTCCGCGCATGAACTGGACGGTCTTCGTGATGTTGTCGTCACTGAAGCACATATGATACCTATCCAGCAAATCGATGGTCTCAACAAAGGGTGTAGCATCTACGTACACAAACATATGATTGGGGTCGCCGATGATGTAATCCCGGACTTCCGTCATGAAACGGTCCCAAATCATAGAGAAGCCGTAGAGATAGCTTTTCGCGCCGGTCATGACTCCAAGGCATGCGCAGCCCTTGCGGGCCGCGAAGTCCCTGGTCCAAGCCAGGTGCCGTTTGGAGTCAGCAAGAAGTTGACCGAACTCGCCGGTGGGGGCATCAAATGGATATGTACCAGTGGGCTCGAGGCCGTCCTTCCCAACGAGCTCGTTGCCATTCCAGTAAATCATCGGAATGATGGTGGCTGCTGGGTAGTCGGTACGCACCTCGTCGATGAGGGCGGCCAACCGCTTGCACAGCTGTTGTAAGCCCTTGCCCCAAAGCATTTCTGACCTCCATGCACCGACACGCGCCGGGCGAGAAGCATCCAAACGCTCCGCAAAGTCATACTTGCGAAGCTTTTTCTTCTTGCCCGAAACCATGGACAGTCCTGAATCAGCGACAGTCACATAGATAAGGAGGTCGCGATCTGGTACACGTGGGGCCTGCACAACCTTCAAGTAAGGTTCGCTTATAGTTAACAGGGGTGTAAGCAACTGCAGGAAGTGCGGCTGGTCCTGCACCCATGTATGGATAAGCGACTGTGCAGAGGTCGTCTCCAGGAGGCCCTTGACCGTGGCGGCGAGGTTAGCGTCGTATTTGCCGTTCGTGCATACCGATGTGGTAGCGACATTCTCCATCCACCTCCTCCATGCCGGATCGCAATCCCTCGCGGGATGCGCCATAGCCGTTGCGCCGCTCATTGCGAAAAAGATGCAGCACAATCACTCGAAAGCAACGGCTGCATGGTGGCATGTTCGGAAAATGCATTGTGAACGGCATCAGTGTTGTCAAGAGACGGCAAGGTGACGTCCCGTGGGACGCTGTGCACCGAACCCTCCAGCTGTAATACCAACCACGTAGAAAGGTGTATACGGTCAAAGCCGCTATAGCCGAACCCGTGTAAACGTTGTAAGGGAGAAGGAATAATAGTTACAACAGTGGTCCTGACAAATGCAGCGCAAGCGAAGTGTTTTCCGCTCTCAATGCCGATCACGTGTGAACGCAGCTACACATCAGATCTTGAACCTCAATTGTGTCTTGAGCCAAATGGCGATCAATGGAACTCGGTAAGCAACACTAACACAGACCTCAGAAGTGCTTCCCAATTTAGGCACGGGGCCTAGAGGGTTTTAACATCCCCCATTTGGGTCGCATTGTTCATCATGCGGTCCAAACACCACAAAAACGTTCCACTGGCCACGGCTTCAGCTACGAAATCGTGTCGTGCACTCTTTTGCTTGCTATCGCTACACCGTTCATTCATTGTGAAACATGCCGGGTTCGATTGTATGAAAAATGAAACATGCATCCACCAATCGAAGCGCATTCCCATATGCAGGTGTATACAATACACTATTGTCACGTCATTTGACCACCATTGAACATCCCAGCTGCCGCATTTGCGCATCGCGCAGCCGTCATCCATAGAAAATGGGTTGGCCATAAAAGTCCAACAGAGGCGCCTGCTCGTAAGCAATCTGCATACCACCGGCGAAGAAATATCGGTGAGCAATCAATGCAAATAATAGCCATTCCAGATACCATGAACAATATATATATACTGAAAAGGAAATCATCCATGAGGTAATGGTCCCATTCATGAATATCCAGAATGTCATAGTCGTCGGAATATGTAAACATATACACATCCATTCATCTTGGACGCATGAAATCATATCATGATGTAAAGTCGTTCCATCACAATGACGTTGATGAGACGCAAGCAACGGATGGGGACTAACCCACATCGTGCCGCAATCAACATCTGCATCACGCATACCTGTCCCCAATGGACAGTCGGTGAGTGCGTCGACGGAACTCCTCGTCCAAGTTCTTCTGGGCTTCTCGCGCCCGGACACACTTCTTGTTATGATCCTCTGGCAACCAATGCCCTTTACGAAGGCACCAGTCCAGCAGAGGTGTGTCGCATTTATTCGGGTCGATGGCCGCAATAATGGCGCTCACATTGACCGAATAACCATATTTGCCAAGGTTCAGGCCATCCCTCACGAATGATATATACTTACAGTTGAAAGCCAGTGAAAAGCATCTGAAAATAAT